TGTGCCGCAATGTCTACCCCGGCCTCGTCGTTAACATCCAGCGGAGCAATGGTGAGGGGTGGGGAGCGGGGCGTCTGCGGGGTCCCGGCTGCCTCCGCCCGCGGGGTTCCCGGCGGCGTGGGGCGGTCGGGCTGGGGCTCAACGCCGGCCTTTTCCAGGTTTGATCCATAAGGCGACGGTGAGCGCGGTGAAAGAGGAGCAGTGCTCCGTGCTGGTGGAGTGGTCTGAGGCCGGCATCACCAAGGGCAAGGAGGTGAGTGGCAGCTGCCCGCGGCCCCTTCCTTCCCGGGGCACTCCAAAGCTCCCGGCGGGATGTGCCTGGGAAAGCCCGGGCTCATGCACGGCCCAGCTCGGCTCTGCCCCTCTCCCCGCTGGGTGGGCAGCGCTTGTCCCACGCTGCTGCCGCTGGGTCCGTGCTGTGCTCGTTCTATATGTAATTAAAACCATGACACTGATGTGCCAAGGTGGGACGCGAAAGGTGCGGTGCCAAAGCCTTTCAGAGGGAGCAAGGGGGTGTTCGGCCTCTCGCTCGTTTTGAATGTCCCGAAGTGCCAGTTTTTCAGCTTTGTTGGCTTTCTGTGCTTTCCGACTTCCCTTACAACGTACCACTACTAAAGTACTAGGTTAAGAGGGCTGGGTTTGATTTCTTGAATCTCTGCACTGATATAAAATAAATACTATGTGAGATGAGATGAGGTTGGGGCATTTGAGGCTGATGTAGCTGAAATACTGACACTGAACAAAATCTCCCCTTGTCACTGAGCAAATGTACTTTTCCTCCTGGTTCCCCTGGAAAAGTGCACTCTGGAGTTCAGGGAAAATCTTAAAAGTTGCTATTGGTTGGTTCTTTGAAACCAAAGGTGTGTGTGTGCCTGCTGCATTCAAATATAAACAATGTGAAAAATCAGATGTAATCTCTGGCTAAATTGCATGTATGTGTTAGGATATTAAACCTTTATGAAGATTCTTCAAAATCCAGTGATTTTCTTATGTGCCTATGAATATACACTGTGTATGTGCTTACACACACTTAGAAATTATATTGTCCATGTACATGTTTCTGAGCTAATTCACTTTCAAATTAGCTGCTAACCGCTCCCACATAAACCAAATTTTATAGATTGCTTCTCTTATGCTAGAAAGTAGTATCTTCACACTTTACAGAGCCTACTTGATTTTTTCTCTTTTTATGGACTCTTATTTCAGTAATTTGGAAGTTAATTGATTAGTCAAGAACTTCCTGGAGTGGTGCTTGTGTTACCTTGTTAGGCCAGTTCCAGTCATAGCTGCTGCAATACCAGAACTTTTTGTGTACGGGTGCTTTCAAGCTCTTCGGTTGGGAAAGGTTTGAAAAATGGAATGGAGAGTGACTTGCTGTATTTGTGCTGAGCCTGCCCTTGGCTGCCTGCCCTTTCCCTGCCTGTGCCAGGGTGCCCTGGTGAAGGCAGGATTATCATTACAGGGGAGGGTTAGCCAGGAGGTGATAATTGGCCCCAGGTGCAATTGCTTGCAATAGCAAGTGAAGATGCAGGTGAATTAAGTTACGGATTAAATGCTGAAACCTTCATTTCCTAAAGTCTAAGCAGCTCTTTGACGTTTATTTCAGTAAGTGCAATCACACAGTAAACACTTAATGCTCTCCTAGCACAGAAGTCACAGAGCTGCTGAGATTTACTAAGATTAGCAGAGAGAGATTAGACCGGTGGATACCAAATGGGCTTTGCCCATCTCTTCAGAAGTGCTCTATGGCACCTGCAGAGCTGTGTGGTGTTTGGCAGATGAGGGTAAATGGCTTTACTAGCACATTTCACTGGCATATTTGCATGTACCAGACTATTCAAACAGAATAGGAACAGAACTACTGTCTTGCCCTTCCAGGCAACTTTAACTTAACATCTCTCAGACGGTGGGTAAGGTTTGTTTGCCTGTACTGAAAGCCAGGATTAGGAAAAAACCATGTGCTGAGCGGTAGCAGGAATATTCCACTCTGTAAAACCCTGCCTTTGCTCTTGCAGATTGGTATTAATGATGTGATAGCAGTAAATCCTGAATTATCAGAACTACCTGCTGCTGATGTGAAAGAGAACGTCCCTTTGCAAGACAATGTAACTGTACAGGTAAGTGCTTTGAAATAATTTAGTCTCTCCTAAGGTACTAAAGCGTCAACAGCATAAGTCTTGTTATTTATAATACCCTCAGTCTTATAGTCTGAGGTCTCTAACGTGCCTTTTCTGTCTCACAGTTAGGCTTTGGTCAGAAATTCTTGTTGTATCAATGTTGCCCTGTAGAGCTGTGCTAGGTGTTTGCTCCTTACTCTAATTGCTTACAGTATTCATTGTTTTTCAGAAGCAGAAGCGCAGAACAACCCTTTCAAAAATTCCTGCTCCACGGGAAGGTGAGCAAGTGTTTTGTTTTTTTCTTTCCTCTGCTATATCCCTGTAGAACAGTGCTGGTCTTCCATGATATTCTACTTTAGTGCATCATAAGGCTTCTCATTCAGTGCTAACAGAGAGGATACCACTTCATACCAACGTTTTGGACTCCTGTGGGCAGTGACTTTGCTGTCCTGTTCCCACAAGCTGAGGTTTGTTGATGTGTTGTCCTTTTCTGCAGCATTGCTGTAGTTATCCCGTGCTTTAAATGGCACTAGGCAGTTACTGCTGCAGTGGATTTTAAAGTTCCTTATGGAGTTTTGCAAATGCCACAAACAACAGAAGTTAAGTGGCAGTTATTAAGATTAAAGGTGTCAAAAGGAGAGTGGAAAGGACATGAAAGAAATAGTGGTGACAAATGGATGTCTCATCTTCACACGGTCTCCCTAGACAATAACTAGAGCTTTATGCTTGGAGACGTTTCAGAGCAGGCAGCCAAAGTGCCAGCTGGTGTGCCTCAGCTCAGAGACTGCATGTCAGTACAATGTGGTGAGCAAAGCCAGAAGAGAAGATAGAGATGTCAGTGTGGGATTGCTAAGGAATTGTTCTTCCTGAGGTGTCAGGAGTCAGAAAACTCCCATGTTTTCTACCTTCTTTTAGCTTATTAGTTGACTCTTTTGGCTTTTTGAACTGCAAGTGGCAGCATTACAGGTCTATTTGTAATACACTTCCTGATGCTGAGATTGAATGTTTAGTAATTTAACGATTCTCTTAAAGTGCATAGTTAGCCAAAACTAATGCTTCTCCATACAATTGAGCTGTAAACAAAACATCTGGGCTTGTCTGGCCTCTTCTGTTGCATGCAATGCAAGACAGGGAAGCTGGGCCCAGAAGACAACAGTACAAATCCCCTGGCATGGGAGAGGCAGGAGTAGTCCAAAAAGCTTAATGTGTAAAGAGCTGTTCTGTACCAGAGTATCCTGACTGTCCTCAAATTCAGAGAACTCCATAAATTTTGTGAACTGACAAGTAAAATGATGCAGTAAAGTCATGACTGTCTATAGTCAGGTCAGTTAATGGAGCTGGATAGCCAGCTGGAAAAACAAAGGTGTGTTAATCCAGTCACTGACTGATGGAAAGATGTCCTTGCAAAGGTCACAGCTCTCCTAAAGTACAGAATCTAATTGCAAATCTTAAATACCAGTTGCCTGTCCTACTGGAGGTCCCTGAAGACCTGCTCAGAGCACAAGAGAGAAGCAGTGTTTTCAGTGTTCCTGAAATAATTTTTGTTGTTGTAACTAGCTAATGCCCACCAGTGTCAGAGTATCTGTCCTGTTGCAAACCCTGCACTGCACCAATTAGAAAGCTAACACTGGCTTCAGACTTGCTCTTAGACTAAACAAATTAAAGAAGATCAGGAGATGTCTGCCTCCATCTGACCCAGGAAATGAGAGAAGTAGAAGCACTGCTTTCAGAATTCATTAAGAAATAGATAGTGCCTCAGTCCTACAAATCAATTGGAATTTTGGAGGATGCTGAATATCCACACATACCAGAATCACTCAAATCAGCCCCATTTAGATGCAGCAAGTCCTCCAGTTACTCTGACTGTCCAGGAGCATCAGCATTTTCAGGAACAGTGCTGCTGTGTGTGTGATGAGAACAGGTCTGGGCATGTGTGACAACAGCAAATGGAATAAAAATGCCATTCCTGAGTATAATGAAACTGATGCTTTTTGTTTCTAAAATTGTAGCAGTCACATCTAATGTCTCTGCAGATGAGCAGAAGATTCCAGGTAAAGAGTTAACAGACAGAAGCACTGAATTTTGTGGGTATGGTTCTAAGGAATTTGATTCAAAATTTAAATGAACACTTGGTTTCAAACAGATCTGTTGTCCTTTGAAATCATGGTGATTAATTCTGGTAATTGCTAGTCTTGACAGGTGAAGGGAGTTCCATCTTGCACATCATGATTTCTTTTTCACATAAGATTTGCTTTTTGTTTTTTTACATATTTTTTGAGGGGAATGTTCCAAACCTTCCCCCAGGAAGCTTTCCAATGGACTTGGTCTCAATGAAAGAAATACCTTGGCATGTGACAATGGAAACTTGCCTACAAAAGGACCTTTTTCAAAGGTTTTATGTCGTGATTATACAGAGTCTTTCAGCTGAATTTAGTGTTAAGGGGCTCCCAGTTCACTGTGCACCACACACAGTCTCTGTGGGTGCCCTGAGGGTGGGTGGGCACGACGCTGCCCACGGCCAGTGCCCTGTCACCATCACAGAGTTAATTCACAAGTGTGAAGCTTCAGAGGCTTTCCCAGTTCTGATTTGTAACTTCCTCCTTCCTAAGTATCAAGATGCTGCAACTGCCATAACCTTATGTGAATCCTTAGTGGTATCTGAGAGAAATTCATTGGAATTGCAAACTTGGAATGAATTGTTTGCTTTTCTGTAGCGGTGTATTTAATGATCACTTTTCACCCACCTGCACCATTTTGTCCTGCACTTTGTTATTGGAAAAGGTCCTTTTACCCACACCTTATTCCTCACTGTTCTGCACTTTGTGAGCACTCCATCAATTCCAAGTGTCTGAGTGTCCCTGGGTTCCTGTTTCCAAAGCTGTGCGTGGCCGTTCCAGGATGTCTGCTGTCACAGAGCCTCCGTGCAGCCTCCAGGAAGATGAGATGGTCGTAGATCCCAGCACTTCTGTGCAAGCCAGAAAATATTTGTCAGTTCCTGGTGAGTGGAGAAAAAACACAATGAACTCTCACTGTGAAACAAGGTGCTTTGTGTGCATTTAATTAGGCAAACTGCAAATCCCAGGGGCATGAGCAACCTGTACTCCTTCATAGAAAAAACAAGAGACCTAGAGGTCTGCCACTGTGCAAATACCCAGAACCTCCTACCTGAAGGGGTTTCCAAAGGACTTTAGAAACAATGCTGTGCATAATGATGTACTTTATCAGCCAGAGAGCTGCAGTTGTGGATGTTGGGTGGATGTGGTATCTGCTCAATGGCATAAAGTGGTATTTGTGGGGCTGCAGTGGGAAGAGAAGTGCCTTAATATTGCTGACAACACGCTCTGTAAATATACCAGTCGCAGTTTTACCTACATGGGTTGAGTAAAGCAGAAACTTGAGCCTCCTTGAATTTTGAAATTCTAGTTATTTATTTACCAGGCTACCCTATGAATAGCTGAGGGCATGTTAAGTTCTGCAAATACATTGAAATAAGAGACTTGATACTAAATTCTTCTCTAGTTGGTGAGGCCTTGATTTGCAGCTTTGAATAAAAGTTGGTGATTGGCAAAGAATTTAAAAGTTTACTTGCACATTTGCCACAGGTTTTAGCTAGTTCTCTCTCCTGATCTGGATGTTGAAGAATACCTGTGGTCCATGAGGCCTTACGGATTGCAGAATCATTCTTGATCTTTGAGATTTAATTATTGGTTTTGGTCTGGCTTCTTTCTGCAGCTGGCCGAACCAGGGCTAGCAGGCTGGGCTGTGTTCCAGAAGCCTCACTGCCAAGTGTAAATGAAAATACAGAGAATCATCTACCTGCTGCTAGAACGAGCACTTCAGAGAGCCCAGGTACCAGGGAGCAGTGGATAAAGACTGACTCGTCAGTCAGCAATGAATCACTATGTGATTGCTGCTTTGTATACTCCGAGACTAAAGCTTTGAAAAGGTGACTTTGGCAGCAAGATTGAATATCTTGAGTATTTTTTTATTAAAAATGTGTAACTCTGTTATACTGGTATTGCCTCAGAAGTGCTGCCTTTGCTGTACAGTGGTAGTGTGACTTCCAGGGCAGTTTCCCTGGTAGTAGATCTGGTTTGGGAAGGAAGTGCTGCAAAATTCATGACCATCCTTCTGAAGATGATTGCTTCCTGTACAAGTTAGTCTGCCAGCAACCTGGAAAAGTTGAAATATTCGTCTTGTGCTTTAAAACCTAGTATGAAAGTTTAGTCCAATGAACTGTTTTCATTTTATCTAGTTCGGAGAAGATCTAACATTGTGAAAGAGATGGAGAAAATGAAAAGCAAGAGAGAAGAAAAAAGAGCTCAAATCAGTGAAATCAGGATAAAACGAGCGCAGGTACTCTACAATATGCCTGTAAGGGGAAATTCTATGGGACAGGGTACCACAGTAGTTGAAACTAAAACAAATGTATTTTGGATGGGCTTTGTTCTTATGAGGTTGTACATAAGGATGGATTGATTCTAGTTTCAGAAAGTTCAGAATCTTGTGAAATGCTTCTAATTACATAAAGCTGACTGCTTAGTAGGCTCTGGGGCTTTTTTGCTGTAACAGATCAATTGCTTTCACATCCGTGGTTTTTCCATGCAGGAGTTTGACAGCAGCTGTCCAAACTGGGAGTTTGCACGTATGATCAAGGAATTCAGAGCAACTTTAAACTGCCAGCCACTCTCTGTAGATGATCCAGTAAGTAAATACTGAGGCTACTAACTGCAGCCTGTAGACAGACTTCATTTTGTACTGAAAATTTGGTATTGAGCAGCTGGTACATCACTGCACCTTGGAAATCCTCTGAGCACATTGTGAGCTTGAGGCACCTGCTGGTATGAGTGAGGTCACTTGCCTTCCCCTTCTAGGGCTAAGCTGCCTTGCTTTACTGTGCATATGACACTAGTGAACAACTTGCCCTCCAACAGTTATCACTCAATGATTTGTGAGCACCAATGTCTTTCAGAGTTTGTAAATGGCAGAGCCATTGTAAGTATAGGCATAATTTAAAATGGACTGTTGCCCTATTACAGAAAGTGTTGATATATGTAAATCATGTAATAAGTGATTTTTAAACTAGGTCAAAAAGTGGAGGAGCAAAAGTAGAGGTCAAAAACTAGAAAAACCAGGCTTGGTCAGGATCTTCAGCAATTGAAAAATAATGTACATATTGCTGTGTGACAGGAGAGGAGCTTGTTACCTTCTGCCTCACCCAATGGCACAGGCACTTCCCAGCTCACCTGATGTGTAGCTGTGCTGCACAAATAGCTTAACTTATTGCATCAGTAAAGAACTCCAGGTCAAAAAAAAACCTCTGGGGTAAAAGAAAGTATTAATTTGCCTGAATTTGACCATAGTTGCAGTACTGATATCACAAATTTTTCTGGAAAGCTGACCAGGGTCTAAACTTTCTACTATTTCTGCTACAGAATATTTGAGGCACTTTCTATGGTATAGCAGCACTTCCACTTGATATGTTGGAGAATGCTACATAAAGGTCAATTATTTGCAGTGTTTCTTTTGCACTGAATGCCCTTTAAGACTGACATCCCTTCATGAGAGGGTCTGACCAGTAGCAGAGGCAACACTGATCAGCACACAGAAAAGTAGATGTGAGGGGGGCATTGCATCTCTCTAACATGAAGTAGGTGCGAGTGTAAGTGGGAAATAATTATTTGTTTTCTTACTTTTCTTTTAGATAGAAGAACATAGGATTTGTGTCTGTGTGAGGAAGCGCCCTCTCAATAGGCAAGGTGAGTGTACTGACCAAGCAGCTCTATCTTGGAGCAGTTTGACATTTTTCATTCTTGTTAAAACTGACGGTCTTTTTCTGTCAACAGAACTTCAAAAAAAGGAGTGTGATGTGGTTACTGTTCCGAGCAAGTGTGTCCTGATGGTGCATGAGCCAAAGCAGAAAGTAGACCTAACCAAATACCTTGACACCCAGACATTTAGATTTGACTTTTCATTTGATGAAACCTCTTCTAATGAAATGGTATACAGGTAATGCTTGCTGCTTATTGGGAATGGCTTTCAGATAAAAGCATGGAGCTATGGGTAGATAGCATTCTGGCTTAAAGAAACTGTTACCTGAAATAAGTATTAAAATCCTTTTTGGAGGAAGCCAAAGGACTGAAAAGTCTAAAGCTTGTTTTTGGCATGGCCTTGCTGATTTCCTAAGGATTTGCCTTTATTTAATTTTTTTTTTTTTTAGAGAAACTGATGACAATGAAGCAGGATGTGAAATGTTTGCTTTAATTTTTTCTTTTTTTTTACTTTCTAAATATCCAGATTCACTGCTAGACCTCTTGTAGAGACCATCTTTGAGGGTGGAAAAGCAACATGCTTTGCATATGGCCAGACAGGCAGTGGCAAGACACATGTAAGTTTTTCTCCAAAGACTCAAATTTTCTAGCTTTAAAATATTTTAAAGTTCCTTGATATTGATCATGAGTAGGTTGTTATAAGGCGTTTGGATCTTGGTTTTATTGTCTTAAAGCTAATACTTTGTTAGATGTTAACTCTTCTTCTGTAGCTCTACGTATTAGTAGGTTTCCTTTGAGGTTTTAAGGAAAATTGTACTAAAATCCCCCTATAGCTGGCTTTTCAAAGACTTAGGATGTCCTGACACGTCAGTTTTAGTCATGGCTATTCTTTGCCTCAAATGGCTGTTGCTTCTTAACACTTGTCTATAAAGTGGGGCTGTTATCCTACATCTGAGACAAAGGCTACTGCCTATCCTGTGTTTTGAGCTTGGAGACATTCCAAAGACTTCAGCAATTATACAAGAATAAGCCTCTTGATGAACATAAATACTTAATTTGTGAAGAGGGCAGATTTAGCGTATTTGCTTTCTAACCACTCCTTCCAGTCTACCAGTTGCAGTTTCAAGAGATGTGAAAGCTGTTTTCTGTCTCAAAGGTGACATGCTCTAAATTTTCAACAGCTGTGTTGTCTTTAGCATTCTTCTTCTGGGAGCTGTGAGGAAGGATCCTCACAGTATGATAGTGGAGTCAAATCTTGTTCTGCAAAATCCCTTTACCTCAAACAACTGTTGATCTTGACTGTACCAGGCTAACCTGCTGCTCAGGTAGTTGCTGTTTTTCTGGTGTTAAAGCCAAGTTTTAGGCCAGGATCTATTGTTAGTGTTATGTAGTGAGCTGTAGATCTCTTCCTGTAATCCAGAAGAAAATTTGGAAGCTTATAAAAGTCTGAACACAAGCTGCCTTCATTGCAAGAATGAAAAGAATGGAAAGAGCAGACAAATCTGTTCATCTGAGTATTGTCACAGGAATACAACTGTGAGGCACTAAAATCATAGGTGAAGTTACTTTTCCTTCCCAATCCTAGGGCAGAACTAGTGCAAGGACAGCAGCCCTACCTTGAGGCTGGAGTGTTGCACATTAAACTGGCAGATTGAGCTGTGTTTTAAATAATTGACTCCATCTCATCTAAAGGTTGGTAGAGCAGGTCACTAGAACAGCACTAACTGAAAATGTTGTTGGGATTAAAGGTACCTTGGTCAAAGGAGTTAAAGATATTGTCTGCTCTAAATTTGCATTTTGATGTCGTGTTAATTTTTGCAAGTAGCAGCAAAAATGTTATTCAACTTATGTCCTAAGAAATGAGGCTTTGTCTCTTCTGACCAGTTTGGTTGCACTGTCAAGGCCATGTATTTTCCTTGGAGGAACAACTGCTTTGACTCTGCAGCCAGAGCCTTACAGGCATTCAGCTGTTGCTTTGTGTAGTCCAGATCTTCTTTCTGAACTGATAGGGAAGCAGCAAATTAATTTTATCCTGAGTTGCACTGTGTTCTAATCATCTTGCTGACATTGGAGCATATCTATGGTAACTTCCTAGTCTGTTCTTGGGGCTAAGATCAGGTGGGCTGACTTCTTGGTACCACATCTGACCTCTGGCCTTTTCTCTTCACAGACTATGGGTGGAGACTTCTCTGGGAAAATACAGAATGCCTCAAAGGGCATATAT